GAGGAGGACAGGGAAGAGAAGCAGCAGGAGGAGAAGGTAAACAGAACCAGACAAAACAGTGACAGGTACAGGGGCAGTGTGTTTTTAGAATTAAAGAATGGATTATTTACTACTGATCTTCTCGTGCATATGTACAGTGGATATAAAAAGTCTAAACATCCTTGTTAAAATGCCAGGTTCTTATGATGTAAAATAATGAGACAAAGATAAATCATGTCAGAACTCTTTCCACCTTTAATGTGACCGATAATGTGAACAATTCAAAAGAAAAACAAAGGGAAATCTTCGAGGGGGAAAAATGAAAAATAAAAACCTTACAATAACCTGGTTGCATAAGTGTGCACACCCTCTTATAACTGGGGATGTGGCTGTGTTCAGAATTAACCAATCACATTCAAACTCAGGTTAACTAGAAGTCATTACACACATGCCATCATTTGAAGTGACTCTGATTAATCACAAATAAAGTTCAGCTGTTCTAGTAGGATTTTCCTGATATTTTCTTAGTTGCATCTCCGAGCAAAAGCCATGGTCCGCAGAGAGCTTTCAAAGCATCAGAGTGACCTCATTGTTGAAAGACACAAGTTGGGAAACGGGTACAAAAGAATTTCCAAAGCATGAGATATACCATGGAACACAGTGAAGACAGTCATCATCAAGTGGAGAAAATATGGCACTGTGACTGTGACTTTACCAAGAACTGGACGTCCCTCCAAAATTGATGAAAAGACGAAAAGAAAAGTGTTCAAGGAGGCTTCCAAGAGGCCTACAGCAACATTAAAGGAACTGCAGGAATTTCTGGCAAGTACTGGCTGTGTGGTACATGTGACAACTATCTCCCTTATTCTTCATATGAATGGGCTATGGGGTAGGGTGGCAAGACGGAAGCCTTTTCTTACAAAGAAAAACATCCAAGCACGGCTGAAGTTTGCAAAAGCAAACATTAAGTCCTCCAAAAGCATGTGGGAAAATGTGTTATGGTCTGATAAAACCAAGGTAGAACTTTCTGGCTATAATTCCAAAAGGTATGTTTAGCGCAAAAACAACACTTCACATCACCCAAGGAGCACCATACTCACAGTGAAGCATGGTGGTGGCAGCATCATGCTTTGGGGCTGTTTCTTCAGCTGAAACCGGGGCCTTAGTCAGGGTGGCGTCAGCACGCTCTTCTTCGCATTGAGCCGCAGCCCCAAACGCTGAAGGTGGGCGAGGATGACATCTCGATGCCGAACCGCTAACTGCCGAGACTGAGCCAAGATGAGCCAGTCATCAATGTAGTTTAATATGCGGAGCCTCAGCGGGGCCAGAGCTGCATCCATGCATTTGGTGAACGTGCGAGGAGAGAGTGCTAGGCCGAACGGAAGAACCCGATACTGGTACGCCGCGCCCCCGAAGGTGAACCTAAGGAACTTCCTGTGAGAGGGACGGATGGAGATGTGGAAATATGCTTCTCGTAGATCTGTCATGACAAACCAATTGGATGTGACTGATGGCGGGGATGGTAAGCATCCTGAACCTGAATCTCCTCAGAGATTGGTTCAGGAACCGCAGATCCAAAATCGGACGCAACCCATCCATCCTTCTTCGGAACTATGAAGTACCGGCTGTAGAACCCGGACTCCCTGGCTGGGAAATAAGCTCTCTGGCCCCGTTTTCCAGCAGAGAGCGAACTTCCCCTCGGGGCTGGTGGCCGGTGTTATGCGTAGGTCCCCGGTGGCACCTTGAAGCGGAGGACCGCCAGGGAAAACTCGCCAGCGACCCACGGTGTGTGAGCCCAGACGGCGGGAAAAACAGCACCTGTTGCCTGAGCCGCCACGAGGGAGGGGACCTCGGTCAGCCTCCCGGGGGGCTGTTCCCTGCGTTTCTGCGTGCTGAAACCTGCTGACGACAGCATCCACTGCCTCACCAAACAGGCCAGTAGCCCCTCGGGGCTGGTGGCCGGTGTTATGCATAGGTCCCCAGTGGCACCCTGAAGCGGAAGACCGCCAGGGAAAACTCGCCGGCGACCCACGGTGTGTGAGCCTGATCGTTTTCCAGCTGCAACCCCTCGAGGCGGGCAGACTGGTGAGAGCTCGCTGGCGGTTAGCGTATCCCGAGCGCCAAGACGGCGGGAAAACAGCGCCTGTTGCCTGAGCCGCCACAAGGGAGGGGACCTCGGTCAGCCTCTCGGGGGGCGTCAGGGTTTGTTGAGGGCGACTACGGGAAGCGACGCTTCGCTTCTGGCTCCGGCGGTAGGAGCTAGACGAGGGCTGAGCTTGTCTCTCTTCAGCCGTCCTGGATCCAGACCGGCGGGGGAGATATTGCTCAAACGCCTCTCCCTGCGTTTCAGCGTGCTGAAACCTGCTGATGACAGCATCCACCGCCTCACCAAACAGGCCAGTAGGAGAGAGGGGCACATCCAGGAGAAAAGCCTTCTCCTTCCCCTGGATGCCCGAGAGGTTGAGCCACAGATGGCGCTCCGTAGCCACCAATGCTGCCATGGAGCAGCCAAAGCTTAGTAACACAGACCGTTTAAGTTTGTAGCTCTACGGAGCTCAGTCAGGTCCTCCTCAGAGGGACCTCCCCCTAGGTCATAGTCTTGAGAAGATCGGCATGGTACGCCTGCAAGATGGCCATGGTGTGCAGGCTTGCACCAGCTCGACCCACTGCCATGTAGGCCTTGCCCACCAAAGCGGATGTTTCTTCTGACACAGCTTGGTGGGGAGTGCCGACATCTGAAGGAACGAAGCGAGAGTGGGAGAAAGATAGCTCACGAGCGCTTCCTCCCCCCAAGGCATCGTTCCGTTCTCTTTAGCCGTGTTTCTGTCACGCTGCTGTAGTCCAGCAGAGGGGACACAGTCAGCCGTGCAGAGCAGCTTTTTTTTTTTTTTGGTCTGTTCCATAATTTACATAACTCATTGTGCAAATCAGGAGAGAACGCGGGGGTGGCGCTCAGGCTGCAGAAAAGCTCATAGAGGTTACTCCCCGCCTCTCATATCTGGGCGCGGTCTGATGACGTCTGCCCGGCTCCCGGAAGTCATCCTACAAGATGCTAAGCACATCTAGCTCCTCAGCCTCCCCAAACTCATACCTCAGGCGGGAGAAGGCCGAGAAACGGACTCCCAAACGTGGGAAGAGAGGAGGCGGAGTCAGCAGACGAGGAACGGGAATAAATCAGAGTATAGGAATAAATATAAACGAATCAAGACACAAGCAGACACATCCCCACTGAACTAACACCAACAAGGAACACAAACAAAGCTAAGTAAAACACTGAACTGGGAGCTAAGGCATCAAGAAGACAGACATGAGTGACAGACAGAGACGGACATGAGTGAACCCCAAAACACAACAGACTATATAACTGATACTGGACACAGGACAGAACCCAAAACAATAAGACATGAACCGAGACACAGAACGAGGAGCTAAGACACAGAATACAGAGCAGACTAAACTAAAATAATGCAGACGAAGAACAAGAAGTAAATGCTAAAACATAACTGAGGCACAGGACTGGGAACAAAGACAAAGAACTAAAATACAGGACCAAGAGCTAAGATAAAAGACGAGACATAAACTACTAAGGACAAGGAACGAGAGAAACAGGCAAATAGACATATGAAACAATGGCAAAAACTCAAACTCACAGGGAAAAAACTACAACTCATAACAAAGACAGAGCTTCCTTCTATCAATTCATCACTTGTGTTAGATTTAAATGTGTCTCTTCAGTTTTCTGGTGCCATTTCAGGTATGTGTTGCCTTGCAGCCATCTTTGGCTCAATACTTATGGAAGTTGACAAAACATAGAAAGTCAACAAAATGCATACATTATCAACAAGTGAAAACAAGCTATTAGGTAAATAGGTTTCCTCCCTATCTTATACTCATACCCGTCATTGCAATTTTTTCCTCACTACTCTTCTTCACTCTTTTCCTCATCTGCCTTCTTAGACTCATCCTCACAATCACTCTTACTTTTCTTTCCAGCAACTCACTGTTTTCCTCACTACTAAATCCTTATTCATCCTCACTACCATCAACTGGAAGTGCCCTTGTCTTTAATGAACCATAGAAAACCTTTGTGTTCATCCTCTAAATGGAAGAACAATGTAACCCTATATAAGCATGTGCTCTGCAGGCAGGATAACAAAGTGTAAGATTAAAATATCCGGTGTAATACATAGTGTAATTTTTTTATTACAGTGTTATTACAACAAACTTTATCAAATGTATAATTAATTAATTAATTAATTAATGTAAAATGAGAGAAAATTATGTTAACTGTTATGCTTTTGATCAGTACATAAACCGAATGCACAACACCAAAAAATGGCATGGCAGGATTCCATAATTGTATGATGTTGCTTCAAGGCAACATTTGCATTTTAACTATTTTCCATTATATAATTATCAAATAAATTATATTAAACAACTAACAATGAAACTTAACTTACCTATTATTGTGAATATAATTTTTCTGGGTCAAAAAATGGCTTTGAGGGCAGTTTAGTGCAGAGAGTAAATGGAGCTGAGCCATGTGTCAAAAGCAGCAGTAAAAGGATTCCTAATGAGTGCCAGAGAATCATGTGACAAATTTTAACACTGCTATTGGTTTCCTTAAGGCCCTGCAACTCTTTTAAAGTAATGCATCATATTTTGGGATGTTTGATGGAGGTGTACTAGGGCAAAAAGGGTATGTTGCCCAGAGGCAACACCGTACCATAGAGGGATATATATATATATATACATACACATATTTATATATATATTCTGATAAAAACTATGTATGTATGTATGTATAATGTCTGTATTCAACCAAAGCAAAGTCTTACTTCCGAGTAAATGGAGTTCCATCTATCCATTTCCAGACACCCTCCTGATCTTTGTCGTTCAACCCAATCCAAATGGTTTTCTTGGAAAACTCTGAGACAAACTTCTGTTCAATGTAAAGAAATCCACATTATATTTGAGTTTTAAAAACAATATACATGCAGTTTGTAAGTATTTATCTAAACTTATCTAGAAAAAAGTAAATAATAATTTAAAATGTAAAATCGTTATTGTAACCTAGTCGTTAAATATTGTTGTGTATGTTCAGATATGTATTGATTAAATACATACACAGTATACAATGGTTTTATAATTGTTCTAAAACATAGAAAAGGTAATGGTAACTAAACAGTTACAAAACACAGTTACACACACACACACACACACACACACACACACACACACACACACACACACACACACACACAGTACCTGCTCTTCAGGGTGTTTATCACCAACAGATCTGCTCCTTTGCCTTTACAGTCCTCTCTGCCTTTATCCCAAGAACCAGACTTATCAGAGAGGAAATAACAGTTATGACTGAACATCTTCCATCCTGCAGGACAGGTTTTCTCTGTAAGATACATCAAGAGGCATTATAGATCAACATTACACTCATGTCTATATAATTGTAAAGTTAGTTCTATAGAACAACTAACATTAGGTTGGTGTAACTTTGTTGAAACGTTTGACTCCAAATTCTTATTTTTCAGCATTTTTTAATCTGATTGACTGATTACGATGGTAATTATACACAGAACATAACAAAAGTTCAAAAAGACAAAAGATTTTGCACCATATATGTTGTCTCATTTACGAGTTTCATCTTATGTGGTGTGAAGCCAAGACAGCAAGACAGAATAATTAGCAGTGTGGTCAGAGTTTGGCATTCAGTATAAAACTGTAGAATTTGTCATCTTCGAAAAGAGAAAGATTTTTTGTCACAATGTAGTGACACGCAAAGAGGACACCATTTTGCCAGTGGTCTATAATCATGTATTGATAAATACATCACACATTTATGTTTGGCTGAATCATACTGTAGGTATATTCAAAAAGCAGAGTGACTAAATCATTGAATTTCTGAGTAAATGTTAAAAGATACACAGCAAGTAAATCTAAATACCACATGCACACGGTTTGGACTAACTCTGAAGCTTTTCCAACTCTTCAGTCCTTTTAATGAGGCTGGCATTCAGCAGGTCTCTCTCTTTAGTCAGGGAAGAAAGCTTGTTACCTCTGGCCTGGAGAAGCTCAGTCAGGTTCACTTTGATAGAGGAGAGTTCTGCAGCTGAACGCTGTGCTGAATCATGGTCTGAAATAATCAAGAGACATTTCTCTGAAACACAAGATACCTTCTGCATTTATGTCAGACAGAAACAGTTATTGTATTTCAGGATATTACATATTATTTGCCCCAAGATTATGGAATATGATTATACTTTACCAACCAATGAAATATTGCCACTCAAAGAATGCAGTGAAACTCTATGGTAGACTTTAGTGAGTGGAACATATTTAACATGAATTTAAATGGGCCATCACTAACATAAATCAGCTGGGGACATGTCCGCACTACTTTTTGAAAAGGCTGATTTTGTCCCCATCACTTTTTGAAAGCATTTCTTAGAATAGTTCTCAAAAAACTTGCAACAGACATATAACTTCAACAGTTATATTTTATATATTGAATCTTCACCTGCCACCTAAATTTTGTGTTTCCCTTTATATAAATAAAACATTTCCACCAGAAATCAGTGCAGAAAATGTCTCCAGAATGCAAGAAAATAAGTAGGCCTTATGGAATGCTCACAAATTTCAGGGGGAGCCCCCCCCCCCCCGTCCCCCTTTCATATATTTCAGTATTTAATATTTCTTTCAAAAGTCTGGTAGTTGTGAACCCAGTACTTTGCCTTGTCTTGTGAGCTAATCAGCGTGTCATCACACCCTAATCTGAGCCCTTATGTCCCCCACCACTTTTCAACACAAAGTGACACCCTTGCAAGCCTGTCAGCAGTAGAGTAAGTAAGTTGCAAGTAAGTTGATGGATAAATGCTGAAATGATCAAATATGTCACCATTGTTTTGTTGTTCAAAATACTGAAAACAAGACAATAAACCAAACAAATAGATCAGAAAAAATCCTGGACGAAAAGTGAAAAAGTGACACAACGCATTCAAAGTAGAATATTGCTCCTATAATCATAAGTTCAGCGTAACATTAACTTCTAAATGTTAACCAGACTCACGGTGGACACCGAGGCCAATTAGCCCAGTAGAAAACACTTAGCAACCCCAGGCGAACTGATCTGTATGTAACAGATCATTTAAGATGTTCTCTGAATCATGTTCTATACATGACACTGTAGTGGATCCTGACCTTCATGTTAAGAGACAGCTGTGCAGAACCCACACAGGAAAGCACTCACTCTGTTTGGACAAACTCTGAAGCTTGTCCAACTCTTCAGTAATTTCACTGAGGCTGGCATTCAGTCGGTCTCTCTCTTCAGTCACAGAAGACATCTCGTTATTAATGCTCTGGAGACGCTCCGTCAGGTTGGCTTTCACAGTGGAGAGTTTTGCAGATGAATCACGTACTGATTCACGGTCTGGAATAAATCAAGATACATGTTTCTTAAACAGAAAATGCTTATTCTGGCTTAAGTTTCTATGCTTAAGTAAGCATTTTGCTGCTCTAGCTGCTTGGATATGACTTTGGGTCGTATCCAAAATCATGGGTGGGAAAAGTAATTTTCATAACAAATATATTTACAAAACAAGCACTTCATGAGGTCAATGTTCAATTTTATTATGTGGTGCTTTTCAAAATCAGATGTAAAAAGTGCTTAAATGCAAACAAGTAAAGAAAAATGACAAACACGTTCATCTTTCAGAGCAGAATAACGCTCTTGAAAATCACAAGTTCAAACTGACGTTAATGTATAAAAAAACAGACTCACAGTGAACACCGAGGCCAATGAGCCCAGCCATCAGGAAAACACACAGCAGCCCCAGACAGAGAAAACAGCTCCATGAAATCTCCTTTCTGAGCACCTGGGACCTGAACACAGAATACAGTCAAGGATACAATAATAATATAATAATGACAGATAATAATACACTTTTCTGCAGAGCTCAGTCAGTCAGCCTCTAATTATTCTTACTTGTCTGAGTTTGTGATGGTTTGGAGTCAAGACATTTGTCATATCCAACATTTACATAGATTTCCTCCATCGCTCATAAGAATGCTAAATACTTTGCGAAGAATCGACTTCACAGCACAAGTTACTCAACATGTAAATGGAGGAAACTCTTTTGGTTTCAGTTGTTTTAAACTTTAGCTTATCAGGAAGTCACACATCATAGATGGGGAATATAGTTTGTGTGACACACGCCTGTCACCACACTTGAAACATGAAAGATTAGAAACTACATTTACTTAAGACGTTGCTGAGAAGAAGGATGTCTGGATTACAGTGCTTAATCTGCTGTAGAAAATGTATGGTTAGTACAAATGCACAACATGACTTTAAACATGAATCATCAATTTTAGGATATTTTTGTATACATTAAAGGGGCTATATGTAAGTTTTTGATTTTAATAAATCAAATTATCATTGCCTTATTGTCAGTGGGCTCAAAACTCGCTCAGAAATGAAGCACCTGTTTTTTCTGTTGCTTGCATCAGCCACTATTCTGCTTTTAATGTGAGGACTCTGGGTCGGATTCAGCCCTGAGCGCTTGTACTCGTACTCCAGCGATAACACAGCAGCTAACGACATGCAGCCCACTAACACCATAAAACAACCGGCTCACAGCAAAACATAGGCTCCACTTAAGTATCCAAAACAACAATAAAGGTTCATGTGCTGAAGCCCATCAGAGCAAAAACAGGTTCAGATGATGTTGAGTAAGAACAAAGTGAGCATTGCTGGAGAAACACAGAGAAAGTCACGTTAGCTCGCCGGCTAATGCAGAGCAGTTGCTAATGTTATCCATGCAAAGTTATATAACGTTAACTTGCAACTTTACTTCACCAACTAACGCCACCCATGTTACTATCATGTGTACCACTTTTGATTTAGCCAGCAAGAAAGGATATAAAGGCAAAAAGCAAATGTGGAGCGATTTGTTTACTATCGTTAGCCTATAGTGATGCAGCCAGCTAACGCTATAGTAGCTCGGACCTGGATGTTTATTTTGGTTTTACCGATAATCAGTACACAGTACACAGCTTCTCCACCTCTCAGTCGCTGTAACTAACGTGACCCACATAACATTAAACACTGCAACAAAATGGTCACAACAACCCAGAGGAAGAGCCATTCACTATCACTAGTTATAGTAAAGTTACTTACTGTAAGATAGGTAGGGCTCTAGCCACACTGTCGAGTTTACTGGAATAGTTGGCAATTGGCCTGTTTTCCCCATAGCTTTGCATCAGTGCTGAGGTCATGAATCCATCTTTGCAATCAACTGTCTGTACAAACTCTGTAGCTGCATAATTCATAAATCCAGCTTCTGCAGAAGTTAGTCATAGAGGAAGAAGAAAAGACATCATTTGCCATTTTGTTCTAGGCTTTGTAGCTTGCAAAACTGCAGTTTTTCTAGTCTCATCTAAGTGTTTTCCCTCTTGTGACAAATTATAGCCTAGATATTTAACAGTAGTTTTCCACAGTAATTTATTTTTACTCACTTCGTGGCCTTGTTCTGCTAACAAGCGGAGCAGTGCCAGTGTGTCTGTTTATAATTGTAGGAGAGGCCAGCAATATGTCGTCCACATAGAGTAATATCTGACTTTCCTGGAGGGTATAATTTTGCTAAATTAGCAGACATTGCTTGGAAGAAAATGTTTGTTAAAATCCTGTCTCGTCTCCTCACTGTTACTGCATTATCATCTTCCTTATCTATTAAGATTAAAGTTTTCTCTACTCCTTCCTTACATCTCCTTGCCTCACCGAGCTATGCTCTTGCTTCTGTATAACCTGCTTTTTAGTTTATTTTTTTTTATTCTTACCACACTCTTTTTCTATCTCTTGGACTAATTTTATACATTCTGATACACTTAGTTTCTCTTTAAAACCATATTGTCATGGGTTGGCTGAGTGAAGACTGAGGTGTGGACCCAAATGCAGACCAAAAGGCAAGGATGGAGTTCCACAATTTATCAAAGAAAAACTGAAACTGAAACAGGCTTACATGGGAGCTTGAGGCAAGAGTCCAAACAAAGGTAATTCCAACAGAAACATAATCCACAGTCAAAATCCAAAAACAAGGAACAAAGTACTATCCAAAGGTAAGATCCAAAAACACAACAAGGACGTGACAAAGATTCAAGACACAAGCAGGCATATATACACACAGGGAATAACGAGCGGGGCGGTAGCAACACAGGTGAGGGGGATCAGGACTATTGAGACACAGGCAGGCAGAGACACAGCAGGGGAAACAGACAGACACCAATAAGGCCAAAGGGAAACTAATAACCGGAAGAAACAGAATATAAATAACTGAACCAGAACATAAGCAGACAGATCACTAATATACCAAAAAACTAACAGGGAAAACAGACTGAACTAAGATAAAACAGAACACAGAGCAAACATGGTCGAATTAATACCGAAGTAAGACAAGGAGTACACACTAAGACACAGATAGTAAAAAACTTAAACATGCGAATGAAGGTTTCCACTATCTTTACTGAGACACTGTTAATAAGTACCACCCAGACACACAACAATAATGCAACAAAAAGACATTCAAATGCAACAATAACCCTATGTTCTCTATATTTAACTCATGGAGTTAAAACCCCTTATCCTTTTTTCTTCTTTTTTCTTGCCATACTTTTAAAAAACTTTTTATTTTATTGTTTTATAACTTTTTTACTTTTCTGGTCAGTGGTTGGAACTCCAATTTCTTGGAGCTTATGTTTCTCTGATTATTCAAACATTACCATGAATTTTATATAAGTTCACGCAATGAATTACAGAATATCATCACCATATGAGCATCAACTTCCTGACTTTAAAGTAATTAAGTTATTCTCACGTAGAATTTGGTCTGTTTACTTGCAAGGAGCCAATACATGCATCACAATAAATACAGAATTGACTGACAAGAAAGGCTTGACAGTCTGCTTTTAAATATTTGGTTACACCCATTTCATACAAATGACATACAAAGTAGCGGAGTCTTTGTCTGCATCACATGTTACTTAAAGATAGACAGGAACTGCCATCTATCTTGCACCATGTCTTTACGTATAATGTTTCCTGTCTGTCTGAGTACAATGAATGTGCACAAGGTCACTGAAGGTGTTAAATGCTTCTTCATAGTATTTTTAGACAAGCATGCAACAGTTTAAAATACATAAGCATAGCACACTTTTCTATCACACATGCTCCTCGGATGGTCCCTTTTCCTGAGTTGTGTAATGGGAATTTCACGAGAACCATCTTTAAAACACTGCCATGTAACTAATCTCACTAGGGGCCTCCAGCCTCTTAGAAATGGGGTCAATGGAAGGTAAATGTGTGTGATGCTTTAGCATATGTCCAGAGGGGTCATGACTTTAAGTGGTTCAACATGTACCTTGGACATGGGTGTCTCTCTATAGATCCAGATTGAGTGTCCCCTGCGGAACACTGTCCCTTGATGAGATAGTACTCTGACCTTGAGACTAAGATAAAAGCTTCATGTGCTGAGACACTGCAGCTCACTCGGATGATACTCTGATACGTGTGTTCCCAGTGAGTTACTTCTGCAGAAGACTTGAATAAAATTCACAGAAAGACAAGTGTTTGCCTGAGCCCCCCTAACTGCAGCTTCATACTATTGGTCATATCTGCAGTGAACTGTTGATCGAGGAACGCATCAAAACACTGCATTATTCTCAAAGAGGAAGAACAACCAAACGATAGTATGTTATGATTGAGAAAAGAGGAAGTAACACCGGCCACCACCTAGTTTAATGCTGTCTCCATTTAAGTGTGAAAAGTTTTGTGGTGGAACAAGCTACCACATGCCATCAGAGCAGGGGCATCCCTCTCTAACTTCAAACTCATCTCTTCCGAGAACACTTCCTCTTATAACACCTCTAACTCATAAATTCTAACATGCACGTCCTGTGCTCTTCTTCTATACCCTACAATGATCTTGTTTTGATTGCACTTTTTTGTTTTGATTGCACTTTGCACAACTCTTACTTCCTTCCCTAGGTATTTACCCCATTGATGTGATTATGAGCTCTTACTAGTATGTATTGTCAGTAGATCTGTATTTGATGCTCTGTTGATGCTTGTATGTTGTTCCTCAAATGTAAGTCGCTTTGGATAAAAGTGTGGTGTAACAGTTGACGCATAACAGTTTAACATAGCACTGTAGCAGCTGGATAGAGGATTAGTGACCTTTTAAGGGGAGAGCAGAGGTTAGTGGTTATGTGGAGACTCAGACCCTTATATGGTGTCTAACAGATGCCTACACATATCCTATAGCACTGTGCCTTATATGGATTGGAGCTTAGTTTGCAGACTCAAACCCTTCTATGGTATCTAACAGATACCTAAACATGTCCTATATAAGCTATGTTTATGTACAGAGAGACAGAGTGGCCATCGGGCTGGGTCACTCTCTAAGCTGCTGCAGAGCTTGTAATTGATACTGAACTCCTTGATGTAATAACTTTTATGATCAAGAACAGTGTCGAGCGGATTTCTTCTCAACACATCCTCGCAGCATTATTGGTCGGACACCACAAAAGCGTCTGCCAAATGACTAAATATAAATGAAGTAAACTGCATTCAGCACAAATCCAAGCAGACTGCAGCCTCTGCTCTCTATCACCATATTTACATGAATGTATATTATAATGAAGTTTGACCCTGAAATGCAGAGAACTTGTTGTATAAAGACATTTTCTGTCACGGGTTTGGGTTTGTTGGGTGTGTTCGGAACAAATGACACAGCTCTTCAGCAGTCTGAGCTGACAAAATCAGATTTAACCGTCTTTATAAC